TTTACCTCATAAATCTGAGAACACATAAATGCTGTCGCTGTGCTGTCCCGCATATTGAAAGATTCAGCTGAGGACGGGGGTGGGTGGGTGGGTGGAAAACAGGGCAGGGGATGCACCTTCAATAATCTGAGAGCCAGATCTGGAAGTCTGCTTTGTTAAATATGCAGGTCACATTCTCCAGATGGCAAAGCTATTACTTACATGTTTTCAGGTGATTTGGCTTATAGTTTTCTCTGGAACCAGAACTCTCAATTTGTGCTCCATATATACAATACAGTCCAAAGGTTATGAGCAACTACTGTGTTCTTTAAATTAGGAAGGAGCCAGATTGTCTTATAATTTTTAGCAGTCTTGAGCAGTAGTTCTCCAGGCTTTCTGAAGGTCATTCAAAGTGTTTCTTTAGGCTTCTTTTTCACTCATTTTCAGTTTAGCCCTTTTACCTGGTAAATGGACTGGTTCTTATGTAGCTCTTAGCTACTCTTTCTGAGCTTTACACAACTTCCTCATTCACACAAACACTTTTTCCATGCAAGTGCTTTCTATCTAACATTCATACTCCGATGGCTGCATCAGAGAGCAACTTGGGGTTAGTATCTTGCCCGAGGATATTTGGCATGCAGACTTGAGCAGCCAGGGATCGAACCACCTACCTCCTGAGCTACAGCCACCCCCCGATTATTTTTGGTTCGCTAAGCCACTTAACACTGACCTATGAATCATTCGAGTATAAGACAGGTACCTAACTCAAGGGATGAATCAGTGTTGCGTCTACACATAACAGTCAACTTGGCAAAGAACCGGTTTTAAATAGTAACTTTCTGCAATTTGCCAGCAGCAGTCTGTTGTCTAATTTTCCCCATTTTTTTTTTTTTATCTGAATCTGTGAAAGATATGCTTAAGAAAACAGTCTCTCAGCTATAAATCTATCTATGGCTAAGATGCCGCTCATTAGGATGGGAAACAGCGAGAAAAGGCTGAGGTTTACACAGGTACTGGACTGAAAATCAGTGACAATAGGTCTTTTGGAATGAATAAATAATAAGAAAAAAGGTAATGGCGACTTTAGTCTTTGATGTAATTTACATAATATTTTAATAGAACAGTCAGGAACAAAACCAAGGGAGTGTTTGTTTGCACTTTCAGCTGTTATGTTTTATCTATCATGGCGGGCTACAGCTGTTAAGGAAGAATACAGTAGCCACAGTTAATAAACTTGCACCAACAACCATTGTGCTCTGAACAGATGCAGTCAATATGCTAACCAAGAGTGATGCATGCATATTCTTTGCTCAGTTACATGTTTCCAAAATTGGCAGATCTGAGAGAATTTTTTTCGGCATCGCCTTTTCTAATTTTTTCAACTTATTCATAATAATCAACTTTTTAATCATTTTCCTGTTGTGATCTCTTATAACTGTCACATGGCCAAACTCTGTAACTCTCTGTGAGCACTGTGAGCGCTGGTAATGTAAGATGACACACCAAAGTATCAGCCACATCACAAATGAATAATCTAATATTTAAAAGGCAGGGTTTTTTTTGTTTCTCTCTGTGTGTGTGTGTGTGTGTGTGTGTGTGTGTGTTTGTACTGCTTTACCATGACATTTTGTTCAGCTCTGGAGTCCAGATATTACTTTCATCATAAAATAAAATAGAGTACTGGGGGTATATACACATATGTGTATTGATGGATTGTTTCTGAAAGATGTGATGCATTACATGTAAGATATTAGAAGCCTAGAAATGGGACGGAGGAGGAGTGGTCAGAGATTTTATTTTCTTTGTCTCAAGAGCATATAAAATGTTGTTATTGTTGTGGTGTAGAATTCTTTCTGTAATAGCAGATTGTGTTAAACTGAAATATGACTTAAGGTGCTTCATCCAGGGAAACTGTTATTTTTCATATTAAAAAAAAAAAATCACACACAGATAATTCAAGGGGGGCATCTGTGGATTAGGGGGTAGAGCGGGTTGTTAGCAGATCATAAGGCCAGTGGTTCAATTACAGCACCTCTAGTTTCTGTGTGAAAGTGTCTCTGGTCAAGATACGGATCCTCAAATTACCTCCATTAGTGTGTAATGGAGGTAATTTAATGCCAAGAATAAAGCATTGTGTGGATGGATGAATGTGGTTTATAGTGTAAAGAGCACTTTGAGTGACAAGTAACAGTAGAAAAACCATTAAGTGCTGAGCCACTTGGACATTTTGTGCTTAAAAAACAGTTAATTATACAAGACGTTGCTAATTAATCAACTAAATTATATATATTGTTTACTAGAGTGATCAAAAACCTAAAACCTATGTCATGTGTGCACTCAGCATGCACTCAGTTTGCTAATGATATGTTGATTGTTGCACAGTAATCCCCGTTTTCAGTGGGAGAAACGTTTCGTCACTTGGAGGAAGACGTCACTCAGATGACATCTAGACGTACAGAATCACGTTACACAGTAATAACTTGATATTACTAAGGTTCCTGTGACTACTGCCTAAACTTTGTGTTTTACGGCTTTTTCCTTTTACAAACTTTGCATGCACACATGCATAAACAGCATTGCGTTTACTGTAAAGACAGATAAAATGGAGAGGGAAGTGAGGCCAAAAAAGGGCAGCTTAATAATGCTGAGAAGAAAAAAACAAAACAAATAGAAGAAGAACTGAGAGAGAGGAAGACAGAGATTTACTGACTGGAGATGAGATCAGAAAAAGCCCAAAAATAGAAATGAAGCTGAGGCAGAAATGCATAGATGAGAAATAGATTAGGAATGGAGAGGAAGATTAAAGAGATGGTTGGGTACTTTTAAAAAGGTGGCCATTTGCACTTTGAGTGGTTTTGGATTAGAAGGGAGAGAACAAAGAAATAGAAAGGGAGTAAGTCAGTTGAGAAATGAGAATCAACATGTGAGCCTGGATGAGTTAAAACGATTCGGGGGGGGAGTGAACAGCAATGGAAAGCAAGCTGACGGAGGAGATGGAAGCTGGTGCAGGACAGTCGACTTGAGCAGAAAGAAGTGGAGGGAGAATGATTAGTGAAGAGTGAATTTACAGAAGGGGAACAAATCTGAACTAACAACTGAAAAAAGTGGAGCATTGGGGATTAAAACAGGGAGGAAAATGGAGGTGAGATGGAGGTAAAGAAAGATGAGAAGAAAGCAGAGGAGACAGCAGACAATGAATAAATATGACAAGGAGGATGTGAGAGGGTAAAAGAAGTAGGATAGGGAGATTAAAAGATGAGAGGTAAAAAAAAAAAAGAAAACTCATAATGGAGCATAAAAGCAAGGTAGGTAGCAGAAGAAGAAAATGAAAGAAGGGCAGAGAGGAAGAATAGATTGAGGGAAGGATTCTAGACTTAACTGTGGTTGTTTTTGCTGATAGAAAGCTTAATAAATTAATATGTGGAGACAGAAAGAAAAACGGGAAGACATATTGAGAAGAAGGATGAGTGCAGGGATGTAGCAGGAGAATACAAAATTAAAGCAAGTCTCTGCGTGCTGTGAATGTTTTAAAAATGTAAAAGCACTTTGTCATAACTGGGGAAGCGTGTTATGCTAAAGTCTCAATACTAGTTAGAGGTCACAGTCAGACATCGTTTCTCTTGTTGCAGTAACATGAAGCAGATTACTTTGAACAGCTCACAGGTACAAAAGTGGCTACACTGAACTTGTCTTCTGTGTTATAGCAGGTGTATTCTGACATGCTTCAAGTGTCGTGTTTATGTGTGCAGAAAGAGTGGGGAAGAACAAAACACAGTTAAGTAATAAGCTGTGTCCTGATTGTTAGGAAGGGGAGAGAGTAAGTGGTAAGTATGGCTAAAGGAAATATAGATACAAAGGAAAGATTATATTAAAAAAAAAAGATGGTGAGACAAAAGAGAGGGAATATATCTATATACAAAAGAAGGCCAGGAAAAAGAGATTAGCAGAACTGAAGAGGAAGGGTAACAAAAGAGATTTAGGTGGATAAATGCCACAGAAGGAAGTGGATGGAGGAGATGAGAAACTACATAGGGAGGGGAGTGAAGGCAAAAGGCAAAAAATATGAGTTTGGTGACTTAATGCTAGAGGAGAGGATGGTATGAGTAGATGTAGGCAAGGGGAAGAGAAGGAGGAGGTGAAGGAAAGAGGAAGGGAGGAAATGGAAGGAAGAATGGTAGCTGCAGGACACGAGAAAAATGTGTCGCAGTGGCAGCAAGGCGGTTTGGCTCTTTTCCCTACCTGAAAAAGCGCTGGCCTTCCATTCCTCCTCTTCGCTTCCTCCCTGTTTATTTCAAGGAATTCTGAGAGCTAAAGGCCCACCTACGAGCGGTAGTGGGTAAGCGTATTTTTCGAGGTCAGACTCAAACATGTTGAGTGCACATTAAAGGGGGCCTTGGCTTCCTACTTGACTCCTTTTTTTTTATTGTTTACTGATCTGCACACAGATCCATTTCAGTATTACTAGCTGGCTGACCAGATTTCATAGCACACTTTGATCTGATGCCTTGATTTATTTGAAAGCCCCCATTAAAGTAGATGTTTTTTAGAGGAAAATGGAGAGGGTTTTTGTGCTCTGTCTAAGAGGCTCGATGCCAGGCAGTGGTGTTGGTGAGGACTGAGAAGAGGTTTTATACTGTCTTTACTGTTTTCCATTTGTCTTCTCTGTCACTGTGGTACTGACTTCAGCAAAATGAATTCCTCTTTCTGAATCCTAAAAAACATCTATCAACGTACTTAAACACAGAGTGTATGAAAAGTTTTTTTATTACGTAAAAGCCATTCATTGCTAAATGGGCAACGGTCAAGGCTGTTAAAAATGTTTTTTCCTCTCTCCTGTAAGTACAAGATGGGTTCTTGTTAATCTTCTACTGATTTATGCATTCCCTGATATTTTCCTTGTCACTGCAGGTTACTATCACCAAGGCTTTTATTTATTCCACAAAACCAAGTGGCTTGTTTTTCTCATACTTAATGTGTAATGTGTTGGTCATGTCAGTATATTATCTTCTCTGTTTCTACAGGTTAACAGGTTTCCAGGTTCCACCTCCGGTCACCAGCACAGGAAATGTCTTCTCGTTGAGACTGACCAGTGACTTTGCGGTTTCTGCACATGGCTTCAAACTCAACTATGAAGGTCAGAAAGTGTCTGTGTTTGTGTTTGCGTGTCTGGCTGGTATGTAAAGCATAAATATGCTATGCTTCACTGCTGACCTTTATATATCTGGTAAATTAATAGCATAAGCCGAGACCCACTCTGAGTACTAAATATCAGGTCAAATTCCATAGGACACATCTCGTTGTGGGTATGTACTGAGGCGTGTAGGAAAGATGGACACTCGCAACAAACACTCGACCTTGAGTGAGCCCTTGTTTTTCAATCAAGAAGTAAATGAAGTGGTCCACTGTGTGTTGTCTACCCCAAGCAATCCCTGTTTATTTGTTAGACATAGTGTACTCTTAAAATACCACACGTAAGGTTTTTACGTCCTCGTGTCTTCACTCAGTACATGATTTTAAGTCAGTCCCACTGAGAGCCATCCAGATGCAGAAAGTTTCCAAGAAGGACGGCTATGCCCTGAATTCAATACGCATTTTCTGACTCCCTCCCACTCAGTACAGGAAGAGACTCCCTAGTGGGTGACAAGTTCATACCTTTTTTTTTTTTTTAAAGTAGGCTGTTATGAGAGAGAGGAAAGCATAGATAAACAAAAATGACAAAAATGTGAGCTTACTAAAGATTATATAATGTAGACGTGGAAGAGCAGAGCCCAGATGTTTGGGCGCTAAAATCTTTCTCATACATTTATGTTTTTTAACTTAAACAAAAACAGACAAGTCAATCTGTCCTTTTTACATAACCACTTTAATATGGTGGAAGAATTTACCAGTTGAAAAATGCAGCGTTCTGATCATGATGTGGAGGAGTGGAGTCATCGCGAGGGGAACTGCTTTTGCCCCCTTCCCTTAGGGCCCAAATAAACACTGTGGTGCCATAGTCATACATAAGGAGAGGTAAAAGTTTGCTTGTTAGTTAAATTTAGCGCTCACTGTGAATCAACACCATATGCTGGGAGCATTAAAGATTTGAGATGAGATTCAGATAAGAAAAACTTTGATGTCCTCAACAATTCAGTGAGTAACAAAGCATAAAGCATCAAACTGAGGCAACCACATTACACTGGGAAAACTAGCAACACTTATTACTTGATTCTTATTGACTGAATAGTTTCTTGACATGCTAACAGATTGCATGGCAACACTATAGTCCCAATATGTAACCCCAAATGCCCTCTAAAAGATCATCGACACAAGGTGTCATTTAGGTAGACATAAATTAGACACGAGTCGGTAACATAATCATTTGCAATGTATCAGTTAACAATGCAAAAATACTGTAGAGAAGAGAATGTGAGAAGAAGGTGTTTAACATAATTCAAGAACAATTAACATCATTTACAATTAAACCTGTTGTCTTTATCATAATGTGTTTGTTATAGGTGGTGATGATGCACAACACTTGGGCAAAAATGCCTCAGCAGCTATACCTTTGAATGAGCTTCTTTGTTGTATTTTATACCTCTGCTTTCTTTTCCACCATTTATCACAAAGTGGCTACAAATGTTCAGTGAAAGTAAAATGCCAAAAACATTATATAGAGTGTAAGTTATAGTCATTCATACTACTTTTTAATACTATTTAGTGTGAATATAGCCTCTGAAGAAATGCTGTGCTGCCCTTACAACAGCAAGTCTTACAAATTAGTTCCTGAAATAGTGGTGGTTGTGATTAATGGCAATTTGGATACTATTTCATAGGAACAGGTAAAAATAATAACATGGTTAATGTTGCATGAATTCCATTTATCTGATTCTATGTCTGAATGCTGTCTCCCCAAATCCCTCTGAAACCTGGAGTGTTATTAAAAAAGCACTTTGGTCAGATCAAAATACCTGCTTTTACTTTTTGTATATGAAGCTATTTATAAATGACTTGGAATACTTAGGATACTTTCTAATAGTGTCAGTGTTAGTAAAGATGGGACCTCGTGTAGTCAGACACACACTGCATTTAGTTCATGCATGAAAAGCATAAAGCAGATGTGGGCAATGAATTTTTAAATTTGTTGTCCACACCTGGCATAAAGGATTGACACAGAAGTGCCTTAAGCCAGTATTTCTTTAATGGCCACTGAGGGCAATAGCTGCGGTGTCAAAAATAGAAGTCTCTTTGAAAGCGGCCCTCACATTTGGCCTCAGTAAACACTCCCTGGATGCCTTTATGGGCTCAGTCACACATTTAACTCATAGTGAATAAAACACTGATTAATTAGTATGTTTTTGTCATTAGAAAGGATGAATATCCAGGATACGCTCATTAGGAGATTGACAAGTTGTTAGAAGTTGATGATGAAGACACTCGTCTCTACGCTTTAAAATTAGTTAGTGGGTGACATCACAACAGCAACATCCATATTTGACACCATCTATGGGTTCATATTGTCATATCAACATGCATATGAGCCTACAGAGAGGGGGACAAACAAAACAAAAAAACAACAACTCAGAGAGTAATTTTTAAACACAAGGGCCACAGCTGGTAAATTTAATTTACAAAAGGACCTGTGAATAATCTGACAAACAGCAGGTAATTTCAGCTGTTTTATTACTCGAAACAAGGTTAAAAAATGGCCTACATATGTGCTCCAAAATGGATTAAAGTCACTTACCAGAGGAAAAAAAAGACCACCACCAACTTCATGATTCACCATGCCTCTGTACAGTAGCCACACAGGCAGTGTTACCTGTAAACCTTTAACTTGTCAATCTAAACTACATGTTTGTGTAAATCTGTACATGCACCTCAAACACACCTTATTATGATCATCAAATACTTAGCTCCTTGTCATAAGCTTGACGCACACAAATAAAGGCCTGTTTTTATCTAGATCTAACCTTTGGTCCAACCTAAACCACTAACCGAAACTCAAGCCTTAACTCCCAGTCCGCTGGAAAGTACGTCCCAACATAAAACCATCCAGATGTCCTCCCCACTTTCCAAAAAATATCCTCTTCCGAGGTCTAAACTGGTCCTCACAAATATAGATGGCTAAATGCATAAATATGTTTGTCACAGCTGTTTGCTGTTCAAAAGTATACACTCTTCAACTGCCTATGTTCGTCTTTGTGCATTCTTTGGTGGGCCTTCCGTGATATTCTCTGTGTAGGTACAATAGCTGATTGGCGTATATCTTATTTATATGTGTGTCTGGTGTGCTGCAAGATGACAATATCACTGATTGCAAAGTGTCTGGATCTAAATCTCCACACATGCTGTGTGCGTGTTTATGTGTGTGCCGGTGCCACTTGTGTGTCGAAGCAGTTGTCCCAGATTTATTCACTGGCACAAATTTTTACTTGCTACTTGGCCCGCGTTCATCCTGCGTGATAGTGTGTTTCTGTGTTGATGTTTATGCGGGCATGTGTGTGTAGCTGTGATACAGAAGGAGTTTGCTCTCAGTGAGAGCATCCATGGGACTTAGCTGAAGAGCCCCTGCTGTTGATACATTCAGATGTTTGACTTGCTCTGTGTGAATAAGGGGGTTTTAACAGCAGACCACATTGCAATATTAAACTTACTTCTGGTCGCTCTTCTATTGAATTTGAACTTTTTAGACTGTCCACAGCAGACACCTAGGCTGTATATTTATACAGCAAGTAGAAGATTTTCTCTGAAGGAATTATCCACCCAAGTTTGGACAGTTTTTGGCAAGTCATTCACAGTCCATGTAATCCTTCCGCCTAATCTGTTTCTGGAGCCATCGCAGAGTTTTGATTTTTGCAGGTACTGACTTTATGCTTACAGAAAAACAATGAGCAAAAAATACCTGCTCATTATCTTTATTACAAGCCATGAAAGTAAGTTCATCATGGCAGTATCATCCTGAAGCAGGCACTTCGCAGAGGCAGATTTAAATAATTTGGCAGGTGTTTAAAAATAGGCTGTTTGTGAATGCATTTTTGTCAACACTATAGCATGAAAGATGCATTTTCACAACGCTACAGGTGCACAGTTCAGATCAACACAAAGACAAGTTTGAAGATGGTCCCAGAACTCAATGGTTTCACAGCTGAGTGTTTTTAGTTGGTTGAAATAGGGCTGTGCGATATGACCAAAATCTCATATCCCGATATAAGACATCTATCGTCCCGATAACGATATAAATCACAAAAATGTAAAATTTTTTGTAAATTCTGTGAATCTCGGGCAGCTCGACTTGCGGGAAGTGTTTCCTGCTGCGCGTCATGTAGCTGGAGTCGAGTGTTTTAACCGATGCATGAAACTATACATTTTTAGACATAAGTTATAACGGCCGCCGTTTTCTTTGTGAGCATTTATTGCACGGCGTGCTGCGGGAAAAAGCCTGTTCTAACGTTTGAGTCTAAGGTTTATTTTTTAGCACCTGGCGGCTCTTTTTTACTTCTCATCCGTGAATAATCTGCTCTTTCACGTGATTCAGTTTATTTTGAAAAGTCTCAACAGGATCTTGAGCTTTATTGTGAAAGGTTTATGTGGAACATAAACAAGCAGACACGCGATGGTGCTACTGTTGTTGGTTGTTGCTAACCACAAGGCATAAAAACAGGCGCTTGTCCGTCCGTAGTGTGGCTATATTAAATATAAGAAAAGAGAGAACTTTAAGAAATTAATATAACCACTACAGTGACCATCAAAACGATGAAAAAATATTGCCGTAAACAGTTTATTTTGCGACACCACGAAACAAACGATAGCATAAAATGAAACGATAGATGTTTTTATATCATCATCCGATATATATCGTTATATCGAACAGCCCTAGGTTGAAATATTGATTGTTTACTTCAGGGATTTTTTTTAAAATCCCATCTGGCCTCAAAATGCCTTGGAACTCTTCAATCAGGTGTGCAAGAGAAATTGGAGAATGCGTATGATGACAAGAATGTCTGAACTTAACTGCCCTGCCTGTTGCTTCAGTGTATTGTGGATACGGGTGAATGGATAATATTGAATTGATAGGTCAGTTAATATACTGTGTAACTGTGTACCCATGACATAAATTGTAATAAAGCAGCATGATTATGCCCACTTTATAAA